CAGGGTGTGGTGGCTCACACCTATAACCCCAGCTCCTGCGGGAGGCTGAGGCAGGAGGATCACCTGAGCCCGTGAATGGAAAACCAGCCTGTGCGAATAGAGTGAGATCCCATCTCTACAAAAAATTAGCAGAGCATGGTAGCATGCACCTCTCAAGTCCCAGCTGCTCAAGAGGCTGAGGAGATTGCTTGAGCCCAGCAGTGGGAGTCTGGACTCTGGAGTGTGCCATGATTGTGCAATGGCACCCCAGTGTGGGCCATAGAGCAAGACTCTATCTCTAAATTAAAAAAAAAAAAAGGCTAACAGACGAACATCAACAATTCTTGATGAAGCAGGAGATTCTGATTGATTGATCCAATCTGATGCACTAAGGTTTGGAAATAAACAAAAATGCAGGTTTAATTTAAAACATCCTGAAAACCACAAAGCTCAAAATATAAAAATACAACCAGCTCCCAGCCTCACAGCCCAGAGAGTCTGAAACAGAACTGCGACTGTGCTGCACTTGGGGACAGACACCCAGGCCACGGCTGCCAAAAGCAGCACAGAGCAGATTTGTATCGTGTGTCCACTTTCTCTCCACCAGAGGCTCCCACATGACGAGGATAAAATTCAGGAGCATGCTACACCATCTGTCAAGAAAATCCATGACAGTAGATGTGTTATGTAAAAAGAGCACCTGCTTTGAAAACACAGAAATTGCACCAAAACGAGGCTTGTCGCCATAACACCAGCACCCTGACGGTGATTCTCACGCTGCTACCTTCTTCTGCCGGCCTTCCCTGGTGAGGCTGGGGCCTAGGCATGGGCCGGCTGCTTTGCACTTCACAGTAAAGGAAGAAAACTGAAACAAAGCCTACTGCTGACATGTTTCTAACCTGAGGTCGGTCACTGAGAAATTGTATCTACACTATCTCCAACGTTCACCTGATGATGACATCTCTTAGTGAAGCTGGGTGCTATTTACTTCTCTGTTTTCACAGACATGGTCTCACTATGTTGCCAAGGCTGGCCTCAAACTCCTGTGGTCAAGGGATACTCCTGTCGCAGCCTCCCCAGGAGCTAGGACTACAGGCACACGCCACCACACCCAAATTACTTTTATTAAGTCATACTGATTTCCTAAAAAAAAATATATTATTTTGAGGTGGTTTTTTTTTTTTTTTTTTTTTGGGACGGAGTTTCGCTCTTGTTACCCAGGCTGGAGTGCA